TTTTAGTCGCCTCTTACGACAGGCAGGGATTACCGTGGGCGTATTCTGTCCCCCGCCACACAGTGGAGTAGCAACCAACAATCATATTCTAACCTCAACCCCTCAACATATCAACATCGAACACAGAGCTCGCATCGGGCACCGCATTACTCAAATTCCCGCGACAATCGTCCGCAGGTATCGCAAGTGCTTACCACCCAGGTAACAGCGTTCTGCAGCTTTTGTACAGGTACACATTACTCCCAACATTGCGAAACTTTTACACGACTTTCCATCCGAGATCGACATAACCTGGTCGAAGCTGAAAATCTTTGTGCTAATTGCCTTCGTCCCAATCATAGGGTTAACGAATGCAGATCGACCACATGTAGACGTTGTCATCAGAAGCACCATACTCTATTGCACATGGATGCGGTACCAAGTACCCCTTCAAGTATACAGTCACTCACCACTTATCTCAATTCACATTGCACATCGGAAATATTTTTAGCCACTGCACTGATTGAAGTCCTTGATAACGTCGGACAAACTCACCTTTGTCGCGTGTTGCTAGATTCCTGTTCACATGCACATTTTATGACTTATAAATTTTTTAATAAAATAAACTTAACACTCGAATCAACCACAATTCCACTTTCCGATGCGAACAATATGTCATCAACGATTAATAGTCAAACCAGTGCAACAATTAAATCTAGGCACAATAACTACTCTCAAGTTGTCACATTTTTACTTATAAACAAAGTTTCGCAACATGTGCCTACAACTCCAATCGATAGAAGTGCTCTAAATGTGCCTCAAAATCTACCGCTAGCAGATCCACGCTTTCATGAATCCGCCGAGGTAGATGGTTTGTTAGGCGCCCAAATATTTTGGGATTTACTTTCACTCGGTTGCATTAAATTAGCCACAAATGATACGAAACTCCACAAAACCAAATTAGGTTGGGTAGTCGTAGGAGAATTCAGAACAAAATCTCACCCTGCAACCATCACTTGTAATGCTATTACAAGCACACTAGAACAACAAATTTCTAAGTTTTGGGAATTAGAAGAGCAACCTTCAAAAAAGCACTTATCACTCGAAGAAAGCAATTGCGAGACCCACTACCTGCAAAATACCCGTCGCGACGCAGGCACTGGTCGTTATTCCGTCAAACTTCCCTTCAAGGATAATCTGCACGATTTAGGCGAATCATATACCATAGCATTGAAGCGGTTTCTTGCCTTGTAACGACAATTAGATCGTAATACAGAAATCAAGGAACAATATTCTCAATTTCTCAAAGAATATCAAGAATTAGGTCACATGACACCCACCAACACCCATTTACGTGATGGTTATTTCCTGTCGCATCACGTTGTCACGAAAGCCGAGAGCCTTACCACCAAAATTCGGGTCGTGTTTGACGCGTCTGCGAAATCTAATACGGGCATTTCATTAAATGACACCTTAATGGTAGGTCCTACTGTACAAGACGACTTATTCTCACTTGTCTCGCGTTTTCGAACACATCGGTTCGTATTCACCGCGGATATTGCCAAAATGTATAGACAAATTGAACTCTCAGCCGATCACAGAAAATACCACAAAATTCTGTGGCGTGAGCACCGCAATCACCCAATTCAAACATTCATTTTAAACACAGTCACGTACGGTACAGCTTCAGCACCATTTTTAGCCACTCGAACTTTACAACAACTTGCAGAAGACGAAGGTTCCTCCTTTCCGCTTGCAGCTCATGCACTACAAAATGATTTTTATGTCGATGACATGTTGACAGGAGCCCCCACTTTTACTCAAGCAGAAATTCTCCGCGATCAATTGATCAATCTCACCGCAAAAGGAGGTTTCCAACTACGACAATGGGCGTCCAACGACCCGCGTTTAATAGAACCATTGCAAACTTTCAAAGACCAACATATGACGCTAAGCTTCACTGATAGTAAAAAAACTCTAGGGCTATTTTGGCATCCACAAAACGACACCATAGGATACTCGGTGAAGGAATGTGATTCTCTCCCGAAACTCACAAAACGCGGTATTCTCTCGTGTATTGCCCAGCTATTCGATCCACTAGGATTATTAGGCCCAATCATAGTCAAGGCAAAATTAATTATGCAAGAACTATGGAAATTAAACATTCATTGGGACGAATCTGTACCATTTGACATTTATTCTGTATGGAATGAATTCCAATCGCAACTGGTAACTATTCGACAGTTTAATGTTCCACGCTTAATCATAGACGATCATACTCAAAATATACAATTGCACGGTTTTTGCGATGCCAGTGAACGGGCGTATGGAGCATGTTTGTACATTCGATCTACTAATATTCATGGCCAGCATTCTGTTAAATTAGTATGTTCAAAGTCGCGAGTAGCACCATTGAAGGTACAATCATTACCTAGACTTGAACTGTGTGCCGCAGTTCTATTGACAAATTTATATCAATCCAGCTTCCGAGCACTTAAAGTTACATTTAATAGTATTAACTTCTGGACTGACTCAATGATTACCTTGCACTGGATCCGAGCTTCCCCACACACTCTCAAACAATTTATAGCGAATAGAGTAAGCGAGATTCAGCAACATAGCAATTCTAATCAATGGCGGCACATTGCTTCGTCAGATAATCCAGCAGATATTTTATCTCGAAGCATCAACCCCATAGGTTTTTTAAATTCCAAAATTTGGCCCAATGGTCCACTCTGGCTAACAGAAGACGAACCTCGTTGGCCAATAACCCAGCTCTCACCAATCGAACTACCAGAACAACGACCCGTAACCGTACTACAAGTAATGACCACAAAGCGTGCACAATGCCAAATTCTGAGAAAATTCTCATCGCTCACCACACTGATTCGAATTGT